ATTTAATTGCCTGCTGCTTAATGTTTTTTTCCCCAAGCGCTGTAATTCGCATTCCATGCATCTTCAGTTAAGTGTTGCTTTCCTGTAAAAAACTAACAAAAACAAAACAAATATAGGCCTAATAGTAATAATACATAAATAAATAAATAAATTCAAATATAAAAAGCCAAATGGATAAATAAAAATTATTTTACTTAATTGAAATGCATATTTCAACATTAAATACGTCAGTTGTAAATAATCGAATACATATTTTATTATTATTATTATTGGTAAATATTGTGCTTATCAGGTTTGCATTTAATGTTATACCAACTAACGAATCAGAACTTTGAGCGCTATAGTCCATGACTCAAAAAAATACATATATAAATAAAAATAACAATAAATAAAATAAAAATAAACAAGCTGTAGTGAACATAGACCTAGGAAATCTATTGATTGTCATAGTCAGGAACCTGTCTGTGGCGGATGGACTGGATGATCTGGGAATTGTACAAAATTGTTCTGCCGGAAGGCTACGCGTAATTTAAGGATAATGAGATCATTCGTCTACACACACACACACACACACACACACACACACACCGCAAATCTTGTCAAACAATCCTGAAGTATTATTTAGGTTAAGGAATATATTGGTTCACAGTCCACTGCATGTTAAGAATAATGTTATTTTTATTATAGATTAATTATAAAGATGCAGTGCAGTTTATATTCCAGAATAGCGCGCGCAGTTGAAGTTGTTTCAAATTTGGCATTTTGTAAATACGCCAATGCACCTCAAATGTTATGTTATTCATATGTTAAGGTGTTTTATCTTATTAAGATGCATGATTATCAAATGTCATGATGCAAACTAATTTAGAAAGTCCATAATTAATTTTGAATAGGCCTACTTTCCATCGGATTAATGCGACACAATCAGTTTAGGCCTTGCAATACAACAACGGGGTATACAAAGGCCCGAAAAATAACAGCCTAAGGCCGTATAGGTGGCCAGCTGCGAAACCGTTATTTTAAATGCAATTTCCGTTCCCCGTTCTGCGGGCGCACTTCTTGCCTCGTTATTCTGTGACATGTGTCGGGTCAACTGATAAACACGAATGGTTGTAATTATAGCTCCATAAAACAGAATTTTTCATTAAATGATCATTATAGGGTTCGACTTAGTTCACATCCCATGTGATTTCAATCTCATTGCACAATACAAACTCAGATTACAGTAGAAATATAGAATTGAGAGGAAATCTCGACAGTCCTGCAATGATCAGTTATCTTTTCTTAAAGGATGATCTGTAGGCCTGTTTGAACGGAATGGCCAGCTATTGCCAAGCTGCCAGCATACTTGACAAGATACATTCTCTCGTCTATCTTCTAAAACACACGGTTAAACTTCATTTTGAACGTTTAATTAAGGATAAATGGGATGAAACCCCCCTTGCTAATTGTTGCACCCTAGGTTCATCATGGAATGTTGTGCTTGGCATAAAGAGCACGGAATCACGGACGGCGATTTCATGTGCATCTGTTTTTCAACATTGAAACGAAATCTGCAGGGAAATTTCATGATTTCACTGCCAGGGCACATAGCGAGAGAGAGAGAGAGAGAGTGATCGTCCACTCTTTTTCCCTTCGTTCTCTCCCTGTGCCTCCGCTGTCTACTGTAGCCTACTACATGTGTTTTCCCATTCAAACATGTATCCTTGCTTGGACCTATTATAGGCATATGTTAAAGTTGACAGGGCGCACTATGAGTAAACTTCAAAGCACAAAAGGTTACATCTCGCTTGGCTTCTTCAATAAGATTTCACGAAAAGAGAATAGAGCATGTTTTAAACTCAACATTATCTTAAATTACAGTCCTGACTATTTTGCAGTGTCACGAGTCACTACTGTCTGAACGAACTGTACCAAATACATCGAACAAAGGGCAATAGGTTCGACACTTTTTCTCTCACTCCGTTTCGTGTTTTGTAACCTGCCAATGTTGAGCATCAGGTTCACAAAGGTGTGTGTATGACAAAGTTTTGCCTGTCAAAAGCTTATTAAGAATATGCTTCTGCTGAAGGATGTCAGTTTAAGACATTCATCACTGAAAACACTGAAATCCGCCATGCATGATTAGCCTACTAATCTAATGCCAATTCAAGACCAATATTTCCATAATTTGCACATATTCGCGTTTAATTTTATGTAGGCCTATGTATTAAATTACCAGAAGATAGCAGAGGTGTTGGCAGCTGCTACACGGCTAAACAGGGGTGTGTGTGTGTGTGTGTGTGTGTGTGTGTGTGTGTGTGTTTTCTATTCTGGTGGGGACTTAAACCTGAATACACACAGACTCATGGGGACTCGTGTCACGGTGGGGACCTAAATTGAGGTCCCCACGGGTAAACAAGCTAATAAATCGCACAGAATTAAGTTTTTTGAAAATCTAAAAATGCAGAAAGTTTCCTGTAAGGGGTAGGTTTAGGGGTAGGGTTGGTGTAGGGCAATAGAAAATACGGTCTGTACAGTATAAAAACCATTACGCCTATGGAGAGTCCCCACAAGGATAGTAAACCAGACATGTGTGTGTGTGTGTGTGTGTGTGTGTGTTTGAGTGAGTGAGAGCGAGCGAGCGAGAGTGTATGTCCTGCAGCGCGTCTGGGAAATCGACAGGTTTTTGAAAGCGCAAGAGAAAACGTCGTGTTCTTATTCATCTGAGGACAACGAACAGACAGACAGTGATTTATTAATTTATGATGGACAGGGACATAACCGTAATAAATCACGCAATTTTAAATCAGTTCATTTCAGGATGGAACATGGATCCCATGTGTGGGCCTATCACGGGGATCGCTTGTCAGGATTCAGTACAACCTTGGCTGGCTGTCGTCCACGACGAAGAATGTTCAAATGTGTTAAGCAGGCCAAATCTTTCTCATCTGTCCGACAACATACCCAAGGGTTAAGATTTAGGACGTGAAAAGCAGCACTGTGTACGCGGAAACCGACAGCTATCGAGCTCTCCTAAGAATAGATCTGAGTTATGTGCCAAATGTGTGCAAAATCATAGGCTATTTCAGAGAGAAACGAGGAGAGCTGACCGAACATCGAGGATTTTACAGTGTGTTTCATTAGAAGCGAAGGGTGTAAGCTCTCAAATGCAAGCCATCTGCCTGTCTTTTTTTAAACCCACAAGTTGTCAGGGCTCTATATCACTCTGTCTAAGGAAAAGTGAGTGCATTGTTTCACTTGTCTGCAGGCGAGATTTTGCAACTTTCTCTGGTGTAGATTATCATCAGATAAATAAACAGACTCCTCTATCAGGCCAAGAAGTGGAAGACAGAGATTCATTACTGAGGGCCTGCAGACAGGCGGGTACAGGCTTACACTGTCTCGCCAAAGGAAGTGGCTCAACTTGAACATGCATTTCTCACATTCAGTCTATAAATCTGCCACTCTATTTTATTTTCTAATCTTAGTTCCCCACATTTCCCTGTCCTTCTCGCTTTCACTTCCATTTTCTCAAAATCTCACTCTCTCGCTTTTTCCCACACAAATGTAGAGAATTTTTTTTTAGCCATCTTGCCTCAAGTTAATTATTGACATTTATAGTCAGGGCTCACCGACTAGGGACAACCAAATGTTTCACTGGCTCCTGGAACAGACATGGGCCCATATTTACCCTAGAATTCATAATGGGTGTCAAGCTGACTGAGTTGGGTATGATTTATGGAATCTTTGTTTTCAATAAAAAAATTTAAATACCTTTTAATAATCCATGCATTCCTCATAAAGCTTATGTGAACCTCATCTATATGTGAACCTCATGAATGTCATTTGCATATTTATTGTTTTTAGACAGAAAAGATTGATACTACAAGTTTTTGTAAAGGTCAAGTCAAGTCAAGTCACCTTTATTTATATAGCGCTTTTAACAATACAGATTGTGTCAAAGCAACTGAACAGCATTAATTAGGAAAATAGTGTCAATAATGCAAAATGACAATAGTAATGCAAAATGACAATAGTAGGTGGCCATATATGTTTTTCCTATAGAATTTTGAGCATGGTATTTTATTTTGTAGAAGTAATACAGTATTTATATTTATTTTACATTAATATTTATGTTATTTGTCAGTATAAAATAGCAATGTATTATTGTTGCCGATAATATTTATTTCCTTCATTTTTGTTTGTAATGATGTCAAATTCATTTTTTGTTTTATGACCATTCTGTATGTAATGTATGTAAGAGTCAATGCAACACATGATTTTGTCCTTTTTTTTAAATCAATATAATTTTCTATCTTTACCAAAAAAACAAAAAAGGGGGCCAGCAAAAGCTGCCAGCAATTAAAATTTCTCACATAAGTAAATTATAGTTACAGTCCAATATGGTTCATTTTGACCCCCTTTATACATAGTTATATTATACATATAGTTTATACATATAGTTTTTGTGTGTGTGTGTGTGTGTGTGTGTGTGTGTTCATGCATTCTTGGGTTAAAAAAATCATGACATTTTACTTTATGAATCTTTTCATCCTGCTTTTTCTGTTACTAATCAAGTCACCATACTGCTACTTTCCATCTCTACTCTCAAGTCCCCATCTGCAATAGACAGGTTTAGATTAAAAGAGTAGAAAGGCATAAATATAATAAACTGTCAAAATGTCAATGATGAAAATGTCAAAATGAATATATATTTAAAAGCCGCATTACGTTAGACACATTGACACAGACCAGATAAAGAGAGGCCTCCTACTGACAAATAGGCCTCTGATTAGCTGCATTATGTGTGTTAAATGGTCGACTTAGAAACCTAGAATGAGTGTCGTGAGTTGTGAGCTGGGATGTTTTTAATTGTGGTGTGGTCTGAGAAAAACCATATTGCATTGCTTTCGCCTGTTTGAGCTTCTCTCAAACGTCCTGTAAATCCATCAGTATCCTGACTAAATGACCTCTTATAATTTTTTCATCTTTCTTTTTCTCCTTCCCTACTGTTACAGGCTTGATGACATCATGTCCAGATATCACTCCCCTCCTTTCCAGACACTCTTCTTCCTCCCTATTTTCCTCTTCACCCTCTTCCCTCTCTCCCTTCTTTCTCCTCTTCTTTCTCAATCTCCTCTCAGCTGGACCTCACCTCATGACCCCTGCTACCACCTGGATGGGCGTCCACGCCACTGCCTATCTGAATTCATCAATACGGCCTATGGGGTGCCTGTGACGATGGAGGACCTCCAGCAAGGACCCAAGACAAACATCAGCACTTTAACAGATCTTCATAACCCCCACAATCTCACGTGCTGGACAGCTGCCGAAGGCTCAGGGGGTGGGGATTGGACTTTAACAGTTCCCCTAGGCAGACGCTTTGAAATCACTTACATTAGTCTTCAGTTCTGTCAACAGGTGGAGTCGGTGGAATCCTACTCCATGTCCATCTTGAAGTCAATGGATTTTGGCCGGAGCTGGCGCCCCCTACAGTTTTATTCAAGCGACTGCATGGGCACATTCGGCCGCCCTGTACAGTCCATCGCTCAAACAAAGCACCAGGAGACGGAGCCGCTGTGTTCAGATCCCAGACCATTGCAGAAGCATCGTGGAAATGCCGCGCTGGCCTTCTCGACTTTGGATGGACGTCCTTCCTCGCCAGATTTCGATTACAGTCCAGGGCTACAAGATTGGGTGACTGCAACAGACATAAGGATAGTATTTAATCAGTCCTTGGATAAAACGAAAAAGCAAGAAGAGAAACTGAACGAAGTGGGAGGCACATTTAGATGGAGGGAAAGGGGAGACAACGCTCTGAGGTTTGGTGAGAAAAACACTGGCGTTAAGACATCTGAAGTTTGGAGAAACAGGCAAGGAAAACAGAATTCCACACAGAGAATTAGAAACAAAAGCACTGTGCACCAAAGTGGCCACAATGTTACACGAAAGGAGATGGGACCTCAAGGTAGAGTGGGAAGGGGACATAAGAAGGACAGTTACAAGCCATGCCAGGACGGCACATGTGATTGGTCCCTAAATATCCCGCAGCAAGGCTCCAAAGGGCGAGAGTTGAGGAGAAGAAGAAACAATGCAGGGAGGGGGAAGTCCCATTCTAAATCAAGAAAAAACACCTCACGCAACCTCGTTTCATCATCTCTTTATGCCCCATTGAAACCCTCTCTCGCCCTTTCCGACCTGCAGGTCGGTGGCAGGTGCAAGTGCAATGGCCACGCCTCTCGCTGTCGACGCGACAACCAGGGGCGTGCCGTGTGTCAATGTGAGCATCACACCTCTGGGCCGGACTGTGATGTGTGTGAGCAATTTTTTTACGATCGCCCGTGGCAACGGGCCACACCCAGCCAACCACACCCGTGCGTCCGTGAGTTTAAACATGTGTGTGTCTGGTGGTCTGTCTGTGCTTAAATGTCTATTTTTAAATAGGATTTAGAATAATTCACTGCTATTTACTTGTGGGAAAATAGTCTTTTCCACACAATACCATATAAAACGTAAAAATCTGCATTATTTAATTTAAAATCCACTGTAAAAAAACACCTTACTCTTAATGATTATTTTTGCTTAAGTTACCAGTTTAAACCACTAAAATCCTTACATTAAACTTGCACAATAAGCAATACTTAATAAAAATGTGTAACTCCAACACCTTTTATTTTACTTTGGGTGATTATATTGATTTTATACATCTATATTTTACAATCTGGGCAAGAAATCAGAACAAACGGATCAAAATTACTTCATCGTTAAAAAAGTATGTTCTATATGGTATGAATATGGGTAGTACGAATGAAATTCAGATGTACTATATCCACCATGTTGTTACTATCACGTGGCCTACCAGCGTCAGTTGCGTTGCTTCACTGCTATTCATAAATCCTCTCCTGTGGCCTCATGGGATAGTAAAGTGTCCATCGACTGCACACTTCAGAATCCAGGCGGAGGTAGTAGGTCATCCGGGTACTTTTCACCTACCGTTTTTCGAATACTGTGAATTCAGACATACTTGTCTTTTGGCATGTTGTTTTTCATATAGGCTACTACAGGTGCATCTCAATAAATTAGAATGTCGTGGAAAAGTTCATTTATTTCAGTAATTCATCTCAAATTGTGAAACTCGTGTATTAAATAAATTCAATGCACACCGACTGAAGTAGTTTAAGTCTTTGGTTCTTTTAATTGAGATGATTTTGGCTCACATTTAACAAAAACCCACCAATTCACTATCTCAACAAATTAGAATACTTCATAAGACCAATAAAAAAAAACATTTTTAGTGAATTGTTGGCCTTCTGGAAAGTATGTTCATTTACTGTACATGTACTCAATACTTGGTAGGGGCTCCTTTTGCTTTAATTACTGCCTCAATTCGGCGTGGCATGGAGGTGATCAGTTTTGTGGCACTGCTGAGGTGGTATGGAAGCCCAGGTTTCTATGACAGTGGCCTTCAGCTCATCTGCATTTTTTGGTCTCTTGTTTCTCATTTTCCTCTTGACAATACAATAGAGAATCTATGGGGTTCAGATCTGGTGAGTTTGCTGGCCAGTCAAGCACACCAACACCATGGTCATTTAACCAACTTTTGGTGCTTTTGGCAGTCTGTTGATTTCGGATGCAGCATTGTTGTCTGATAACGTAATCTTAATCTTATGCAGTTTAATAAAAAATGTATTTGAACATACTAGAAAAAAATCTCATAAAAGAAGTTCCATTTCTGTATTAAAATTAAAATGTTGTTTTTTACTCCTTTCACTGCTATTTGTGACCCTAGACCACAAAACCAGTCTTAAGTCGCTTGGGTATATTTTTAGCAATAGCCAAAAAAACATTGTATGGGTCAAAATTATCGATTTTTCTTTTATGCCAAAAATCATTAGGATGTTAAGTAAAGATCATGTTCCATGAAGATATTTTGTAAATTTCCTACCGTAAATATATAAAAACTTAATTTTTGATTAGTAATATATATTGCTAAGAACTTCATTTGGACAACTTTAAAGACGAATTTCTCAGTATTTGGATTTTTTTGCACCCTCAGATTCCAGCTGTTCAAATAATTGTATCTCGGCCAAATATTGCCCTATCCTAACAAACCATACATCAATGGAAAGCTTTATGCAGCTTTCAGATGATGTATAAATCTACATTTCGAAAAATTGACCCTTATGACTGGTTTTGTGGTCCAGGGTCACATTTTTTAATCCTCTATCTGCCCTCATCTATGTCTGTTTCTCTCTTTCCCAGCATGTGAATGTAACAGTCACTCAACTAAGTGTAGGTTCAGTATGGCCGTGTATCAGCAGTCTGGTCGAGTCAGTGGAGGCATTTGTTTGAAGTGTCGGCATCACACAATGGGACACCACTGCCAGTTCTGCCAGAACGGATATACGCGAGACCACAGCAAACCGCTCAGCCACCGCAAGGCCTGCCAGCGTCAGTAACAAATGATTTGTCTGTGTGTTTTATGTGGAAATCATGTTAAACCTGGTCTATACATGAGTGAATCATTCTTGCCGTTCCACAAGTGAAAAGAAAAACATGTTTTTTTTGGCTTTGCCATCTGTGGGGTCTGAGGTGTGTGAAAGGCAGCATAGTCTGTGTCTATGTTATGGCTACACTATGAGTGATGGAATGTGCACTGACACTTGCCCTTTGACTGCTCTCATATCTATGGCATGCTCACGGAGCATTTTAGTCAATGTCCCAATATAACATCAGTTTACACTGCGTGCTTGTGCATGAATATCATACATCAATGTTTATTTGTAAATTAGTGTGCAAGTTCATAAAATGTATACAAAATCTAAATTATGTCTTGAAAATACCATAAAATCTCTGCTAACATCTAAATATTTGAATTAGGTGATAGAATTATCTTAGAAATTTGGAAACTGGAAGATTTAGAACTTGTTAATGTTAAAACAGACCTGACTTTTTAAGCGTGTATAAACGGTTGGAGCTTTGTTTGGATGAAGAAAGGTTGAGCAAAAGCAGAAAAGCAGATCTTTCCTCTCAATGATCTCCCAGCCATCACACATATGTTTTATGGGGGAAATCTTGCTCAGGGGTCAATGAGACGTGAATTACAACTGAAGACATGAACCACAGCTGCCTTGTTCTGTGTAGTATTACTCGTCATTTCCCTTCATGTGTCTAAAGCCGCTAGTCTCACACTAATACCCTTAGTCCTACAAAAATTATCTTCTCTCTTCCTTCCATTTTTTCCTGCATCTTCTTTCTACATTACTCTTGTGTGTTCTTATAAAATTCCTAATCTTTTTTCTTCACTTTCATTCTTTCATTTTCTATTTGTCTCCCTCAGCATGCAAGTGCCACCCCATGGGTGCAGTGGGCCATTGGTGTAACCAGTCCACAGGACAGTGTTTGTGTAGAGAAGGTGTCACAGGACAGAGGTGTAACCGTTGTGCCCCGGGATACAAGCAAGGTCATTCCCCTCTTCGGCCATGTATCCGTAAGTATCACACCTTGCGTTTTGATTCTATTCTGTATAATAACTAAAGTTACTGGACATAACAAGCAGTGTTTCTAGTAATGGTATACTGATATATTAGCCAAGATTAGTAATCAGCCCATATCTGACCATCGACCGATAACCATGTTCTCTTGATGAACAGACATGTTCATCTCCCCACCTAGTAAGTTTCAAATTTTAGTCAGTACATGCGCAATTTTATTGAGCTACAGAATGTTTTTGCCTAGACATGCTGCAGTCTTAATTTCTCTGTAAAGTGTGTATGACACAATGCATAAAATACATATCACACATCAGGTCTTTGTCTTTCAGAAAATGCGCACGACACAGTCCCATTAGTACATATACATACAGGACAACGTCAAGGTCTGACTTGGTCTGAAATTGGACTAGTGCGATTTCAGTCTGACTAAAACATGTACCTGATATTTTCTTTTAAAGATAATTTATTGCTCTAGTATAACTTTTGAATTTTTAAACTGCATGTAAACGTCCTTAGCAACTTTCAGTTGATAGTAAACTATTTCTGTTTTCATTTTTGTGAATTTGAGTAAATGTTGAAAATAAACACATTTATTTTCATTTCATAAAGTCTGTGTACATCACACTTGCGATCACCAAATCAGCATATTAGAATGATTTCTGAAGGATCATATGACACTGAAGAATGGACGCTGAAAATTCAGCTTTGCCATACCAGGAATGAATTACATTTTGAAATATTTTAAAATAGAAAAGAGTTATTTAAAATAGTAATAATATTTCACAATATTCTTGTTTTTACAGAATTTTTGATCAAATAAATGTAGCCTTGGTGAGCATAAGAAATTTCTTTGAAAAACATTAAAAACCGCCTTAGTGCCTATTCCGGTGACCGTGATCATTTGACCAAGTACAACATGTTCCTGGATCAACATCCTTGCAACATTCCAATTAACCAATCAGAATTGAGGGATAACTTTTCAGGAAATGTCTGTTTTAGGCTTACGATCAGGGTTAGGTGCTTCTACACCCTTGTTAATCAGCTATCATTTCACACTGATTTTAGGAATAAATTATGGGTAGGGTTAGGTTTAGGGGTAGGACAGTAATGTTCATCCAAAAGATGTTGATCCAGGAACATGTCTTACTTGGCAAAATCATGGCGACCCGCCTAATCCATTTTTTGGTATCTGCTATAGTGTTTTTACCCTGGTTTATTTTTCATCTCAACTGCCCTTGAACCAATTAAACTGCTTAATTTATTTCAACTCCAAACTCAGTATCATTGTCCCTTTGCAAACTACTGTTTGTTTATGAAGGATTTAGTAGAAGCCGCTTTCTGAAACTCTAACTCCTTCCTCTCATTCCTGTGAATAACTGTTTCCATACAAAGTCCTGAAACTTCTCAGGTGGTGCCACTTGGCTTTCATCAACATTACAATCAGCTTTCCTGGATTTCTAGGTGCTTCATTTTCATTACATGATAATCCAATGAGTATTGCTGCGCTTTTATTTCTCAAAGTTCACGTAACGGCGCAAGCCTCAGGGAAAAGGATGACATGGTATGGCGAACAGCACCTGTCGTGGAGCACAACCAGACCCGTTTCCCTCCCAGCACGACAGACGCATAATTCTTCACGGGTTACGGCTGAGTGATAGAAGAGCTTGTTTGTTGTTCTACATGGATCGTCTCAACATGGATATTTATAGCATGAGCTCCCGTCTTTCCAGCACCAAAGGCGAGCCGCAGCTAAAAACATAACCAGCAACAGCGGGTCATTTGCCACATCTCATGGAGCAGGAAACGCAGCCGTCGTTTATCACAGGGAAAGTGACCCAGACATTAGATATTATTAGCACTTGAAGATTTTGTGGGGATTTTATTTTGGATAACAGTGACCAGGAAGTCTCATGTTATCCACATTAAACTCTATCTATATAATACATACTTTAAAGCAAATAGATTTCTTCAGGTGTACATTTGCTAGCTCTTACACCCAGAGACCTACTAAATGCCTCAGACTCAAAACACTAAAATGGATTTGAAGCTGTTTGACGTTTGATATGAGTTATTGCTGAGGGACTTTAGCGTTAGGGGGGTTGGAGGAGGAGGATAAGGTGTCAGTGTCCCAGTTGTGTCAGAGATATGGGCAGAAGTACAGAACTCATGGGTAATATATGGTTGACCCAGCGTTGCAGACCATGGGCCGTATGTATGCGTGTGTGACAGAGGGCATCCTGATAGCGGTTCTATTGACCTTTAAGACCACACACATGCATGAAATTGTCTGGGCTCACACACTGTGACAAAAGTACACTTGTTTTTAACACAAGCATTCCGCATGTACTAAAAGACTACAGGGCAAACTGCAGTCAGAGCACACACGTCCCCTTTTTCCCTCACACACTCACAAATGGCAAGTATGCCCTAATGAGCCACCGCAGGGATTAGAGCGAGTCACCCACAGCGGAGGTGTGAAAAAGAGGAAGGACAAAATGAAAGGCACACAAATAAACTTGTCACTGCTTGCTGTAATTTAATGAGACCCTCGTCCCCCCTTCTCTCTGTCTGTTGTTCGTTCAGGTATTCAGGAGTTTGCACCACCCACCCCAGTTTACCAGCCTCAGTACAGCATTGGTAAGCAATTGGTTATTCCTTATAAACACACACACAATAATTTTATTTTGAGTTTCTGGTACACTGTTCATTTGTGAATTGTCATCTTTAAAAAAAATGTTTTTCAATTTAAAATATTAAATTTATGATTTGTTAATGTTATGTTTTGTTTACATATATTGCCAAAGCTTTGTAAGCAAAAGGAATGTCAAGAAACAACACAATAACGATGAAATAATATTCAAATAAGATGCATAGTCAACATAATAAAGCATGTTAAAAGTTATTTGCTGCCCCCTAGTGGATTGTGTAACAATTGTTTTCAGGTTAATATGAACAGACTGCATGTAGTTCATTGTTATTTACCCATTCAGTGTCCCTATAGCTTTCTGACCACATTTATTTCCCTGATAAAAATGTGTAATCTTTAGATGCATTATATAGTTTAGAAAGGTAAATAGTATGTCTCTTCATAATAAGCTGCACAATTGGAATTAATCATGCTCCTATAATTAATAGTGTGGGATAAGTAATCCACCACATTTTACATATTATTAACCTATGTATAATTAATCATATTAGTTGTCTTTGTAGAGCTGCTTTGCAGCAGAAATTTAATTGATCTCCCATTTGATTTAGTTTGCACCAGTGATTCTTATTTTGCTGTTTATTACTGTGAAGCTGCTTTGAAACAATTTGTATTGTATAAAGTGCTATAAATAAAGGTAATTTGACTTGACTAGTATAACAATAATTATAATAATTCATGGCTTTCCTATTTTTTTTTTAATACAAATAAATCTGAATTTATATGTAGACAGAAATCTACATTAGCATCATCCCTTGTAATGTATGTTTTCTCTAGTACACAAATCAACATTAGAATTACTCTTTCAGGCTAAATATACCTTGAACTGTCTCTGCAATTATTTGAATAATACTTAATATCCAGTCACATTTTCTGAAATTGCAAAAGAGTTTTATCCTGCTGTTCATTTAATGACACTGGCTCAGACTTATAAGCATTATTTTAAATCTATTATTATTGTCTTCTGATTCCACTGGGACCACTAGCCTCTACTGACTCCCTACAAGAACCAAGTATTGACACCAAACAAAGATAAGACCGAGAAATATATCCCTTTTTTAGGGGCCTCACAGGAGTCTCTGGATGACCAAATGAAGTATTTTCCAAGGCGATACAATCTTGACATCTGGCCTGGTGACCAGCAGACAATAAAAACCTCAGAGCAGACATTTTCATTCGGAATAAAATGTGTTGTACCATTGACAGCAACAGAATATTGTGCAGTCTGCCATGATTATGGTAATATACCTGCCACAGCTGCTTCGCTAATATTTTAAAAAAAAGTGCAGTGCAGTCCATTACTGCTGACTGATTTCACACACTTTATTGTGATCTGCACTGAGTAGACAGGCCAACTCTAGTTCTCTGGAAACTAAAGAACTGCCTTTACTACTCCTGGACCCCTGTGCTCTATTAAATACTTGAATAGAGATATAAAACAGCCCTTCTCTTTGCATTGGAGAGATTAATACTGGTGCAAAATGTAATTTAAAATAGATTCCAAAATACGTGTGTTTATTAACATTTTAATTCTTGCTTTTTAAGAAATGTGTCAAAAGTAAAAAAAAAAAAAAAAGTTTTTTTTTTCTTCAAAGTGTGATTAAATTCTCTCTCTCTCACTGCAGGTGAGGAATGTCTTTCTTACTGTACCCCTTCCCAAGCAAGAGTCAAAATGAATTTAGAGACATATTGTCTCAAGGACTATGGTAAGGAACTAACTAAGGAATTTTGTTTATACCTCAAAATAAAAAGGCAATTGTGTAAGTTAAAATTAAGAAATAAAGCCGTTTTTTTTTTTTTCAAAGTGTGATTAAATTCTCTCTCTCTCACTGCAGGTGAGGAATGTCTTTCTTACTGTACCCCTTCCCAAGCAAGAGTCAAAATGAATTTAGAGACATATTGTCTCAAGGACTATGGTAAGGAACTAAGGAATTTTGTTTATACCTCAAAATAAAAAGGCAATTGTGTAAGTTAAAATTAAGAAATAAAGCCACTAGGCTTGCAGAAAGGTGGACAATTTCCAGTAAATTTCGGAAATATTCCAGAAATTTTGGAAACTTTCCAGGATTTTTGTAATATTCCAGGGATTTTTGGAAAGTTTCCGGAAATTTTCCACCCCTATGTAACCCTAAAAGCCACACACTATGTGATATAAAGTCACAATTATGGGAAACAAGGTTGCAATTGTGAGATATTTAAATTACATAAAAAGAAAAATTGCCTTTTTTTTTTCTGAGGTGGAAATAGGAATATGGCAGAAATATATAACCGGTCAACTGTTTGGAAGAATTAAGTTTTTTTCAATGTTTTTAAAAGAAGTCTCTTATGCTCATAAAGGCTTAATTTCTTTTTATTTTATTTTATCAAGTATAAAGTAAAACAGTAACATTGTAAAATAATTTTACAATTTAATATAACTGTTTTCTATATTACCATATTTGTTTAATGTAATTTATTCCTGTGATGATACAGCTGAATTTCCAGCAGCCATTATTTAAGTCTTCAGTGTCACATGATCCTTCAGAATCCTGTTCTGGTGCTCAATTACTATTGGCGCTAATTTATTAATAATGGTTCTTATTATAAATGTTGAAAACATTTTTTGCTGCTTAATATTTTTGTGGAAACCATGATACATTTTTTTCAGGATTCTTTGATAAAAAAGAAAATAGAGTGAACAACCTTTACAGTATTTTAAACAGTAATAATATTTCACAATATTATCATTTTTGATCAAATAAATGCAGTAATTTTGAGCGATAAGAGACTTCTTTCAAGAATATTTAAAAAAAAAAAACTTAATTATTAAACCTTTGGCCAGTAGTGTATATAGATTTACATTCTTTTTTAGTAAGTTAAGTTCTTCCGTAGTATGTGATGCATGATGAAGAACTTGATGCTGGAATACACTACACTTTTCGTTTACACTGAAACAGAGTTCTCAAAATAAAATGGGGTCTGCAGGGTTTTCGAACGTTTTTGAGGGTCGAAAATGCCGGAGTAGTGTAAACGACAGGTATAAACGTAGCAAAAGTTATGCATTTTAAAATGAAAATGCACTCGTGTAAACGTAGCCTTAGCCCATCACATACTACAGTATTCGACGTTCTGTAAAATCTGTCACCTCTGCTGAAAATCTTTGACTTGCTTCGACTTTTGGCACCTAGGGTTGACTTTTCTAGACTACAAATTGAGGCAAAAGTCATTTAATGTGTTCCAGTCTTTAGTCATATTGTCTAACATCCTTGTCTGTTTTCTGTCATACTTTTGTCCCAGTGCTGAAGATGCAGGTCAAAAGTAAGGAACGTTCTGGTCCCTGGTGGCAGTTTTCCATATTGGCGCAGTCAGTTTTTCGCATGGGCTCTTCACGTGTAAAGCGAGGCATTCAAGCCCTCTGGGTTCCAGATCGGGACCTGAGCTGCGGTTGTCCTGCGCTTCAGATAGGCCGCACATTCCTCCTGATTGGAGGGGAGGAAAGCGGCCGGAGTTGGGTCCCCGAGGAGAGGCGGTTAGTCGCAGACCGCACCACAATGGCTTTGCAGTGGAGGGAACACTGGAGCCCCAAATTAAGAGGCTTCCGCGGCCAGGACACCCGGGGAAAGTGCCCACAGGGAAACACCACTGCACAGAAACACTCTCACCCAAGCTCATACGAAGAATACACACCCCCACATCTTAACAAACTGCAGTCTGAGCCACACAGACCAAATAAACATACACATACGGTGCATAAACAGCATCATTTAACCACACAATCTGGAGGATCAGACTTCACACACACACACAAAAGAGGAGGAACTCGGGGCATACTAAGAAAAGACACAGAAGCGGAGGAGGACAGTAAGGCTGAAAACGTCACTCAGGAAACACACCATGTATTGCAGCACACCCAGGATCCTTTCTCAGGTACTTCAAAGACGAGTCAGGCTAATGAGCATGAGCAGTACCACCCGACAGCATGTCCAACGTGGTCACCTGGGCCAACTGTCTAACAAAATGAGATATTGTGAGCATGAATAGGAAAGAAAGTTAAAGGAATAGTAAAAAAAAAAAAAAAGAAGACAATTTGCTAAAAAATATACTTGCTCTCAGGACATCCAAAATGAAGATGAGTTTGTTTCTTCATCGGAACAGATTTGGAGAAATTTAGCATTACATCACTTGTTCACCAATGGATCCTCTACAGTTAATGGGTGCCGTCAGAATGAGAGTCCAAACAGCTGATAAAAACATCACAATAATCCACAAGTAATCCAGAAAACTCCAGTCCATCAATATCTTGTGACGTGAAAAGCTGTGTGTCTGTAACTGTTCTGATGAAGAAACAAACTCATCTATATCTTGGATTTTTGTGAACTATTCCTTTAAGAAATGCCTGCGGTGGGCTTGAGCTCAGCCAAATGCATGGTAAGGAATATTTCAGTTGTCTCTAATCTAGGCAGTTTCACAGAGCCACTCATAACAATTGAATATTCACATACTTTAATGTGAGTAACTGAGTATTTTTGTATGTTGTGCTATATATTCATCACCAGATTACAGAGCCATTTGTATTATTTTTTCAGATTAAACATGCAGGTATTTTTCCATGTCACATGCTCTGAGAAATTTTGCACCTTCCCTCCAGAAAGAGATGCATCTAATCCAAATATTAAAAGACAATTAAAGAAAATCACCATATTTTATTCAAGATGTTACTTAAATGGCATCCTGTTCAGTCCACAGTATTTAGTCTGACAGTCAGACGTGTAAGACTCTTATTGCTGGATTGTAAGAGGCACATTGTTTTCAGATTCCATCATTGACAGACATGTTAAGTGTGGCTAAAGATTGTGTACCCGTAAGTAATACATTTTTTAAAATTGTTTTTGTAACTTTATGTGGCTAGAAAAAAAACACACACCCATTATATATATATAGTATACAGACTGTATACAACATATCTTTAATATGGTGCCTTTTTAAGTCTTATTACTTGTGAATATTTTAAGCTATCATATAATATGTAAATGTTATAATTATATAATTATTTGTTTAACAAAATGTGACAAAACGTTTCGGTTTTTTGTTTAAATTAACGCTCTACCTCATAATAAATATTGTTAACAAGCCTGGTAAAGTAGTTTATTTAATGAATACATACATTTAATAAATGTTTCCATTTCAAAGTATAGAACGTAAAAAAATCTGTGCAAAAAAAATGCACAACATGATTCATTTATAGAAAAAAAGTCCAAATGAAAAAAAAGTTCACACACATGAGACTGAAAGGGGAAAGACAAATGGAGAGAGACCGTAAAAGCGAGCAAAACGGCCAATGATGCACCTGCTTTGCTTGCACAGGAAACACCTGTTCCCAGCCTTCCTGCCTGGCTGACCGACGACAGTTAATTTAATGTAAAAAAAAAAATCTCTCACAGCCTGAAGGGCCAAACTGCCCCGCGCTTGTCTTGTTTTGAGAACAATATTGCAGGAAGTCTAACTCGCTAACTCTCGTGCCCTAATATATCCACATGTCCTCTATTTTGTCTAGCAGCCAAGTAAGTGTAGGCCTATCGGATAACACACTCCTAACACTATCAGAGCCCCCGTGGACACACAGTTGTGAGATGTCTAGATGCATGGCATGTGTGACATCTTGGTCACATAAAAAAAAAAGTCCCAAACTCACCTGTATATTTAATCATGAATTTAAAGTAATGTTCTGGGTTCGTACAAGTTCAATAATCGACAGCACCTGTGGAATAACGTTGATTACCATAAAAATAAAACTTCCTCTCACCCCTCCTTTTCTTAAAGAAAAAAAAACTGAAAGAAAAATGGGGAAAAAATCTTAAAATGGAAGTCAAGGAGACGATCTGTAAACGATAAAATAGTAATACTGTTTCGGAAGTCAAGCAAGACGTAAAGCGTGTTAACACGATTATAGTGTAAAAATAAATTATCTTCTGTGTGAAAAGTTATATCCCATTGTAGGAATATCTTACTAACCTTTTCTGAGTAAAGTTATATTCCACTGTAGAAAGCATTTACTAATATTTTCTGTGTAAAGTTACAACCCATTTGAATCAGGTCCCTTACGGTAACAATTTTAACAACTTCGTAGCCATGACAACGTGGCTACGTAAACAGCAGAAACGTAACGTGGCTACGTAAACAGCAGAAACGTAACGTGGCTACGTAAACAGCAGAAACGTAACGTGGCTACGTAAACAGCAGAAACGTAACGTGGCTACGTAAACAGCAGAAACGTAACGTGGCTACGTAAACAGCAGAAACGTAACGTGGCTACGTAAACAGCAGAAACGTAAAATGACTAATTGCACAGCTTTGCAGCACATATCACATACAGGTATACAATTCTAAGCTTCACATTTATGCTTTTAAATCCTCCAAAAACCTACTCCCCTCAGTTCCATTGTAAGTGCCTCATCTGTCATCATAAACTCGATTTAAAAAAACAAAATCGAGGCAGTTTTGATTTTATTTATTCATCTTTGTATTATTTATTTTTTAATAATGTTTTTGCAGAAATAAAAATGATGCTACAAATGCTGTTGACCGTTTTTTTTTTTTACAGGAATATAAACGAGGCTGTGAGGATAGAAGAAACAAGCCTGGTAAAGTAGTTTATTTAATGAATACATACATTTAATAAATGTTTCCATTTCAAAGTATAGAACGTAAAAAAATCTGTGCAAAAAAAATGCACAACATGATTCATTTATAGAAAAAAAGTCCAAATGAAAAAAAAGTTCACACACATGAGACTGAAAGGGGAAAGACAAATGGAGAGAGACCGTAAAAGCGAGCAAAACGGCCAATGATGCACCTGCTTTGCTTGCACAGGAAACACCTGTTCCCAGCCTTCCTGCCTGGCTGACCGACGACAGTTAATTTAATGTAAAAAAAAAAATCTCTCACAGCCTGAAGGGCCAAACTGCCCCGCGCTTGTCTTGTTTTGAGAACAATATTGCAGGAAGTCTAACTCGCTAACTCTCGTGCCCTAATATATCCACATGTCCTCTATTTTGTCTAGCAGCCAAGTAAGTGTAGGCCTATCGGATAACACACTCCTAACACTATCAGAGCCCCCGTGGACACACAGTTGTGAGATGTCTAGATGCATGGCATGTGTGACATCTTGGTCACATAAAAAAAAAATAGAAAGAAATATGCTTTTTTTTTTAAAGAAAAAGATTAACAAAGAAGATTAAAAATGCATTAACTTGCTGAGATTTTTATGTAACTTGGCTTTAATAAAGTGTTCATATGAACATAAAATATAAAAATATTGCATTATTTTGTTTTCTTGTTGATAGTTTAAGATAAATAGTCCATTGTCCCAGAACAAGTGGAAATGTACCATGAACATACATTGGATAAAAAACAAAAAAAACACAGACATGGGATTTTTCCTCCTCATTTCATAAGCTCACGCCATTGTAGGGAAGATACTCAAGTATCCATTGAGTGTAGAAATTTGTTGTTTCACTTCTTCTAAAACAAACCCCAGAACAGAGAAAACTGCATGTGTGCTTAAGCGGTCAGGCTTCAAGGAAATGTTCTCACTGGACTATTTATAATACCACAGTACTACAATGGACACATCAAACATTTATTTTGTAAAAAAGAAACAACTCACCTGAACCACCACTTCTTGAGATATGTCGACACGAGCCACTGGGGGGCGCAAGAGGCTGGGGCCAAACACTGTAGCCAAATTACTCGGAGACATTTTATTCTCTTCCTTCCTCTCTGCAACACTGAGAAACACAAAAAGAAAAAAGATGTACACGAGAAGGAGAGAAAAATAATAAAACCGAGAAACACCTTTTTCTTATTTACAACCATCAATTTCGAAAGTGATTCAGGTCAGTCTGAGGTGAAACTAAATCCGTGTGATTGTTTACGAGTTGAAAGGATGTTGTGTACCGTCTCAGGTGATGTAAGAGGAAGAGGAGAGTGTTGCGGTTTACATCTGGTAGAGCCTGCAACAGAGTCAGCATGCTGTCAGCCCTGAGATATGGATCGGCAATGTCTGCCACAACCGGATAGAGAGAGATATATATGTATTATCATTTCAAATGCTTCAACATCATCATCATCATCATCATCATAATATATACTTTTCTCACACTGCATGTTTATGTACAGACCTGTGCAACTGTGTGTTCGGGTGTGTGAATGGCTCACCTAGAGCATCTGCGAGCTCCTTGAATCGCTCAGAGGGAATAAGAGGTAAAGGAAGTTCTCTAAAGTACAGTTTCAGAGTGCCAGATACAGCATTCACATCTACAGTCCTCAGTTTACTCACAGCCTCACGGTAATCTACAGAGAGAGAGAGAGAAGCACACTTTTCAGATAAGTACTGGGAGAATCTGTTAACAGTTTGAGACACACACACACACACACTCACTAGTGTTGAATGCATGTCTAAGTGCTTGTATCTCGCTGCTGGCTCCGGAGATTCTGTAGATCCCCTCTTCATTCAGACCCCTCCTCTCAACCTCCTCCACACAGGAACGGACAATGTGAGGGACCATCACACTCTCTTGCCTGTAAACACACAAACACAGACACAATTAAGCCTTTAAACATGTCCTCTTATTCCATTTTTATTTTCCTCTTCCTTTTTTGATGACAAAACACCTCAATTTCTACACGTCTTAAAAAACA